TTAAAGCTAATGCGTGAGATTACATCACGTCTGGTGAGTCGGAGTAGCTTTTCCATTCTCCGACAGCAGTTGTGCTGTTGTCATATCCTAATTTCTCCCTAGGCAAGGAGGTACATTACTGGCAGAACTATTATTATATGATAAGACCTGGTTACTTAGCGCCTATAAACTAGCTTTGTGTTGGTTTAAGTTGATGCTTTTGATCTTGTCCCGAGAGATTAGCGGTCATTGATTAGCAGTGTTGAGGGTCAGGTGATGGCGCAGTGGTTTATTCGCTGTCACTGGCGTGCTTTGGACCCTATAGTCCGAGGTTCGAACCCCGCCACAGCTACCTTACTTTGGTGGTAGAAGGCTTTACTGTCGCCCAGTTCAGTACCACGCCTAACCAAGCGGGGCTTCATGTGGTTCGTCACTCCAAGTCCCGGGGCTTAGGTTACGGGTCTCCATCACTGAGCAGCAAGTCCTTGAGACTGCACCTTGATGTGATGTGATGGCTTGTGCACCCCTCTGACCCAACGAGCTATACAGAATGACTTTTGTCAAACGACAGATTTAGTCATGCCCGGAAGGTCAATGGGTAGAGGTCAGACGAAGTCCAATTTCCTGGTCCTCCAGGTTGGGGTTCGACACGATTTAGCATCTCAGTCGATAAAATGATAGAGAAGTAACTGATCCAAGTAAATGGGCCTTTACTTCGCTTTACCCGCTGCCTTGCAGTCGGGTTCTTGTCAGAACTAAAGGCTTTGGACGAGAACCCTAATCATTCTCCTGCTTAGTGGCTGGACACCCTGGCAGTACCCGTCCATCAAACTCAAATGCACACACAACCATACTGCATCGGTCGTCTCGCAGGATAATCAGGACCGCGCGGTCCATTGCATCGATCGGGGTGGGTAGTGATAAGTGGGCTATTGCTCAGATATCCCAACCTTTGTTTAACCCTTTATCTTCCGTACCCAATCCTCTCCCTTCACCCCTTCTTCCAACCCGTAACATTCCCCCAGACAACTTGTTCGTCGCTCGCCAAAGGTCGTTGCCAAGTAGCCCGGTAAGTAGTTTACCACAAAGTAGATTAAGGATTCTAAAGCCTCGTCAATCACTGAATCTGGGGGCCTTCAACGTGAGGACTCTGATGCAGGTAGGTCAACAGGCGTGTTTGGCGCGTACAATGGATTGGGGATTGATGTCTGCTGTGTCGGAGAGTCGAATCCAGGATCTTGGTACTATATGCCACTTAAGTACACCGGGGTCGTCTTCGAGGTTCTTCCTCCGCACGTCAGGTGATGATGAAGCCCGTTCAGTAGGCCAGCGTGCTTAAGGCATTGTACTGAATAATACATCCAAAGCCGTACTACTCGATTGGATCCCCGTCAACAGCCGCTTATGTGCGATGCGGCTCCAAGAATCTATCAGCGTCCTGAAGGGAAGCAACACCAAAAGGTGTTTAGTCATCGTTTCAGTGTATGTACCGACCAACTGCAGTTCTAACACATAAAAGGACGAGCTTTATGAGAAACTCATCAAACTCATTCGGTTGAGTCAAAGGTCCGATATAGTTGTCCTCGCAGGTGATTTCAACGCTCAAGATGGAAAACTGAGCGCATCGGAAGCTTGCCTAGGCGGTTATTGTGCACTGCTCTGTCAGCGAACAGATAATGGCGATCGACGTCTTCAGTTCTGCGCAGATCATCATCTGTTCCTATCCAGCACTAACTTCCGACAAAGCTGTCAACGGACAGC